ATAGTGTCGTAATGATTGTCTAATGCAAATGTATAAAAATAATAAGTTGTAAGCAAGAGAAAAGGACGTCTCCTGCATAACCATTCTCTTAACAAAGTAATTACCTATTGATATACATATAAATCTGTCATTTAATACAATAGTAAACAAAAAAATAAAGAATAAAGCGAGTGTTTGAATCGTAGATTAATGACCCTGGGCCAGATATTCAGTATAGTTTGCCCTATATCATTTAACCACGTGACATATACTAATGCATCTTATTTATTAGAAGATTTTAGAAATATTTGTATTATACAGAAAAATTCAAACCAGTTTAGACAATACAAGCCTATAATAAGACTTCTAAAATCATATAGAACTAACAAAGAGAACTTAAAGATCTGAAACCAGATTGGCAAGTCCAGAGCAAAGAAGTAGTAAAAATCTTTGATAGTAATATAAAATAAATCTGGATTAAACTAAAGAATTAATAAAATTGGCCAACAAGTAGTATATAAAATCTATATATACAATATGCTTATAAACATATATTTTTAAAAGTTTTATATGTTTTTAGCTAGAAATATATATGAAAGTTACAAGTTTTATAGCTACATAGTGCACTAAATTTATTAATAATAATAACAATTAATTAATAAATTGATTAATTATTTATTTATATTAACAGATATAATAAATATTCAAACAGCTTATCAAATTAAAAATAATTTATATCTACTTGTATTTGATCAAAATTTATTGTACAATTATATGTTATTAAATGAAATCAAAAAACTTAATATAAATTCTGAAAATGAATTACCTAAAAACTGGCTTGAACAAGAAGAACAAGAATCATTAACTAATAATAAAAATCAACAAGAAATTGTTGAATCATTTTTAAAAAATATGCCATTAAACTCTAATATAATAATTATAACAATTAATTGTAGTACAAGTTTTTTCAATATATATTACTCTATTATTTATTTACTTTATTTTTTAATATTTTTTCATATATAGAAATTAGAAATTGCAAACAATAAATTAGAAATACAAGATTCTTTTAAAAACTCTATTTATATAGTATCTACTGTTATAATAATAATTTTAATTTATTAATTGAAATTCTTTCAAATAATAATGATAGCAATTCCTTAATCAAAGTTTCTTCAAAAAAAAAAGATTTAAATCACAAAATTCAAAATGTAATAAATGTTCAGCATTAGTGCCCAAAAATAATAATGATAATATTATTGTGAATACAGAAACTCAGATAGTTTACATATTATATATACAATTAAGTATATACTGTATATATTAAAAAAATTATTTTAACTTGTTATATTTGGTAGCAAAAATCTATGCACGAAATTTATAGAAATGTTGCTATAAATTCTCTTAAAAGATATCACAATAATATGAAAGCACAACTAAATAAATAAAATAAAAAATTTATGAATAAATATCAAATTGGTGATTTTATCCATATTAAAATTTTAAAAATTGATTAAACATATAGTGATTGTATGACACTTTCATGCAAAGTTCTCAAAATTTTAAAAAGCAATATGTATCAGGTTGGATGCAAGTCAGGTATTCTTGAGATCACATATAATGCAACTAAAATTTTTCCTTTAAGGCTAAGCAATTCCCCAAATTAGATAATATTCTTTCAAAAACTATAAGTATGCAAGAAGCTTTACATACACAATCGATATCGCAAGTAGGCAATATAAAATATAGTTGTAAAGGTAAACGTGATAAAAATTACTGCAAAAGTAAGAAGAAAAAGCTGCCTTGTAGAAGTAGCCATCATCCCAACAATCAAGCTCATAATAATAAAATATAGCTAGAGTATATATATAAATAGCTTTGCGATATGCTGTTATATAAATTAAATTCAAGTGCTTTTAATTTTAAAATTGAATATATATTAAGTGGATTTGGAATCAACGGTAAGTTGGTTCGAAATTCTTTAATGATTTGAGTAGGTTTAAAATTTCATTTCAACTTAAATGTTTTTAGAATCAGCTTAAGTTGATTCGGAATCCACATAAATTTTATTCTGACGTACAACATATATAATAGTTTAAATTCTAATTAAAATTAAATTTTTAAGAATTTTAACATTTTTGCTTAGTAGTTTTGCTATAAATTAACTGGTAGGTTTTTAAAATATAACATTTTAAAAATAATTACTACAGGTTATAGTAGTAATATTTTTAAACAATAATAGTAATTAAACTGTATTATTTTTTAAAATTTTTTTTCAATAGAACTAGACTAGATGGTGCCTCATGCACTGTGTGCTCCTTACTATAAAAATTGCCAATCATTACGACACTATTACTAAATAATTACTCTCATTGTTCATTCGCATAATTTATATATATCGCATTACTTATT